CGGTTCATTTGAATCAGTGAGTTGTCGACTCGAGAACAGCTGCAATCGGATCATTCCAATTCGTGAATGAATTGTTTGGTGCGATTTGCGAACAGATTTAACGGGTTCATTGAAAAGAATCAGTTCGTTCATGAATTTTCTGAACCTGAAGCTTCTGCGTCTCGGAGCACGTGATATATTATAAGGAGTAATGAGAAGTTTTATGAAATGTAGTGAAGTAAAAGTTACTCAAAATAAAACTACTCCAGTAAAGTACAGATACTTGAAAAATGTACTTAAGTACAGTAACGAAATTAAACTACTTCGTTACTGTCCACCACTGGTTAAGACTAGTTACATTGTTTATGAAAGGGGTTTTCAAACATTTTTGATCCAGAGGGCCCCCTAATGGTGATAATTCCTTTATGATGGACCCATTTCCTAAAATATTAGGGCAGTCATACTGTATATTCACATTACCTTCCAAAAGTTTGGGCTTGTATTTATATTGTATTTATATTTTTGTGGAAACTGTGATTTTTTTTTCTTTTCTTTGATGAATGTTCGAAAGAACATTTTCAGAGCACTAATTCCGAGTATGGGTCACCATACTTGGCCACATGTCACGTCACTTCACTTTCACTTTTCAGTGTCACATGATCCTTCTAATATTCTGATTTGCTGCTCAATAGACATTTCTCTTTATTAGCAATGTTGAAAACAGTTTGCTGCTTGATTTGATTTTTGTCAAAATCGTGACAAATTGTTTCAGGATTTTGATGAACAGAAAGTTCCAAAGAACAGCATTTATTTGAAATAGAAATCTTTGGTGACAATTCAAAATGTGTTTTTTGATCAATTTACTTTGTCCTGTAAAAAAAAAAAATCTTGTTGACCCCAAACATTTGAACTAGTGTATGTCTGTTCTTACACTGCAAAGACCATGTAGCATTTCATTAGCGCATAACCAAAACCTAAAATATAACTTTATGTAAAACTTTTCCACTATTCATATGCTGCCTTTCAAGTATTTGTATTTCTTTTAGGAACTGCAAATCTGGTGAAGATCTTTTTTTATTATTATTATTAGTTAAAAAAAAATTATAAGTACAACACAGAACAATAATATAAGTATAAGTACAACACAGAACAAACAAACAACATTGTCTCAGTCTTCACACGCACTCACAAATAAATAAATAAATAGAAATAAAAATTCATATGTTTAATACCTTAGACATCAGTTATAATGCTTACAATAATACAGGTTCAGTAACTAAAGGTACCATAGAAAAGAGCTGCAAAACAGTCAATCATTAGAAATTCCCGAAGGTAATGTACAACTCAACGCACATAGGAAACATTAGACATTGGTTTGGCTGTTAGTTTGTCTTAATATCCGAGAAATTATCCCAAATCTGGTGAAGATCTGATGGGCAAAATATATACTTTCTCACATAGTCTGATTAAATGTGTGTGTTTGAGCAAGAGGTTATAACAAGTGTGTCTTCCATCATGACACTCCCTATTACCACAGTGATCTGTATAATACTAGTGGCTAATTACTAGTTTATTTATTAATCATGGAGCACAACAAAGCTTCTTTGTTGTGTAACCTCTGATTTAGCACACCAGACACTGTATCTCATGTTAACTAGCAGAAAATAAGATGAAAACCAACCTGAGTTGCTCTAGTACTGTCAGTCCCTTTTTCCGGGACATTAAGCATGAAAGTGTTTTGTAATCCCCCTTTCCTGTTATAGATAAGCTTACAGAGCCAAGACGTCACTGATTTCACTGTTAATGTATGCATAAATATTTAACAGGTTACAGTAATTGTGCCCCATGACTTATAGGTAAATTCCTTAAAGGGATAGTACACCCAAAAATGTTTTTCCGCACCCTCACGTTGTTTGAAACCTGTATGAATTTCTTTCTTCGGTTGAACAAAAGAAGCTATTTTGAGGAATGTTGGTAACCATTTGCTGGTAGCCATTTATTTCCATAGTATTTTTTTCTGTAATCTGAATTGTCCAAGTTAAAGCTATGCTAAAATCTAAATCCTTGATTGTTCCAATAGCGTCCTCGCATTGTTTTTTCATTCAACAGGCTAAAGCTCTCTTTAAAGAGGCGGTCTTCTCTCACCCAAGTCTCTCACTACAAGAATTTCTGTAAGTTTGGCCTTTAGGGATTTGTGAGTTCATTTTGTGATTATAAACAAGGTCTACAAAATGAATCATGACACTGCTCAGTGAAGTACTTAAGCATGATCATGTTTTCTCTTTCTCTGAAATGACAGATCTCTGGGGACACTGGCTACGGGAGTGAATTGCTTGGACCTTAGACGATTGTTCCAGAACCTGGCATCTCTATTGCCTCTACGTGACATTATGACATTTCTAAAAGAGCAGCCTGTGCCACTTCACCCCTCACTGGTATCTAGTAAACCTACATTCAAATTCGGGACCTAAATTTGACAGATTACCAGTTTAGTTTAGTTCCATCTTTATTTAGTCTTGTTCGTAGTGCTTATTCATAATCGTATTCATAGTTCGCTCAATTAATCAATACAATTTTGTGCAGACATACCTGTAAATTGAGTGCAGATGTCTTGAATCCTGAATAATGGTTGGAGTATTGCACAAACACTCTCTTGACAGAAGTTTCTTTTCCTTTTTCTGTACTACAGAAAAAATGTGTAATTGAGGAACTGTACGAGTTTGACTTCTTCTCAGATTTACTTGGAGATTTGGGTTCTCAGATTGCCCTGTCACTTCCGTGAGTCAAAATTCAACTCATCAAAATACATTTACATGTGTATATAATTTTGTCTTCACATGTTAAATGTCATGTTATTGTCTAAAGGCTGAGCACCATTAAGAAATTTCCACAAGATAAGATGGATTCCCTGAGGAAAATTATAATACAGGACCCATATTACTTCCTACTGCTTCCCAGCACCAAACAAGCTGTCCTGGTGGACAAGATGGTTCAAAGACTGGTAAAGAATATAATTTTACTGTCTACAGGTCATGCACATATTTTCGGTGTGGATCTTTGCAGTTAATGATTTTGACAGGGTTAACAAACCCTGATTCTATGTACATTAATTCCAAATTGTCAAGTTGGTATAGAAGTCTCTGTGAATCTCCTATTCAACCCCTATTTCTTTGATTTTCTCATCAGAATATGTACACTGGCCTGTACACTGAAGAGGAGTTTCGTTCGCTAGGTGTCATGGCTACATTTGTGACAGATGAAATGTTTTGGAAATTGGATAGGAGGTTTTTTGTTGATGGTCTGGAGTTCCTACGAAGATTCTGCTACAATGCCAATAAACGAGACATGGTGGCAGACATGCTACAGAAACAGTGGACATTTGGGTAAGGACAGTTAAAACTTTATTTTCTAGTTTCTATTAAATTACTGGAAATGAAAGCTTGCATCAAACCCAACATGTTGGCAATAAACTGTTTTCTCTGCATAGCCCTGTAAAAAACTGGACATCAGAGACACTGAACCAAGTGGACCGCTTCTTGTTTTTTCTCCCGAAGGACACTATTCGGCTCATCCCCTTAGTGAGTGACCAGAAATTTCTATGTGTCATCTGAACACACGCCTGTGTTTTGACCTGTCTGCATGTGTGTGTGTGTCTTCAGGGTTTGATGAGCTTAGAGCGCATCGAGAGGCTGTTCCTGAGTCAGCAGAAGTGGGAGAGAGGAGAGTTTGGCTCTCTGTGTCAGAAACCCTCCGAGCTGTTTGAGAAGAAGCAGTTTGTGCTTCAGTTCTTCCTTGGCTTCCTCAGAATGGGACGTGCCCCTTGTAAGCACAATTCTCTGCCTTGACAGAATGTCATCCGTTAAAATCATTCTGTTTACTTTAAATAAATAACAGATTGCGAAGGGATATAATACAGCAGCATGGCTGTCACTTCACACTTTTGACCGCTCAACCCTTTTCATTTCATCTCTCCATCTCTGTGTCTTAGATACTGGACTGATCCCCTCTTGTGAGAGCCTGCATGTGACACAACCTGCTGCCTGGACTATTGACAGCCTTAGAAACATGCCACAAGCTGCATTTCGGAGGTGCTTGGAGCTCATTGGCCAGGATCCATTTTTCAGTGCATTCGAGCTGTTAATGCTCCTTACAAAGACCAAAGAGGTGCCTGAATTTCTCCATCAGCTCATATGCTCCTAAATAACATTCTCACAAGTGTTTTACAATTTTGAGATATGACATTTTGTTGGTGCACGTAATAAGACATATCCTCTTTTTCATTTGTACCTTTCCACTTGGTGGAAATCCCATTAATATGTTGGTGATATTCGGTGAATATCTGCATATCTGTGGCATAATAATAGTGGTGACTTTTTTGTCTGTGTGTAGGTGTATGGGATGCCTTCCTCTTTTAACTCTTCAGTGATCTCTCAGTTGGGTCGCATTGCCACTCAGCTTTCACTTGAAGAATTGGCCTCTCTTAGACTCTCTGAAATTCAGTCAATTTCAGCTACGGGGGCTCTCAACACATGGACCAGCAGACAGGTGAAATGTTGATGAGCACATTTGTAAAAGTGAGCTGGAATGGCTGGTAAAATGGCAATTTGAAAAACACAATATACCACAAATCAATGAAAATACACTGATTGATTTTGATTGATTTGAACAAAAATACAGTAAAAACAACAATAATATTGCAAAAAATAATTGCAATTTAAAATTATTATTTTCTATATTTTAAAATGTAATATAGGCCTATTCATATGATGGCAAAGCTGAACTTACTCCAGCCATTACTCAAGTCTTCAGTGTCACATGAACATTCATTCTAATATGCTGACTTTGGTTCTTAAGAAATATTTCTTATTATTATCAATGTTGAAAACAGTTGCTGCTTAATATTTTTGTGGAAACCATGATACATGTTTTCAGGATTTGTTTAGGAAAAGAAAGTTCAAAAGTATTTCTTATTATTATCAATGTTGAAAACAGTTGCTGCTTAATATTTTTGTGGAAACCATGATACATGTTTTCAGGATTTGTTTAGGAAAAGAAAGTTCAAAAGAACAGAATTTATTTGAAAACAATAACAATGTGAAAAATAAAATCTTACTGTTTTATATACATATTGTAAATGACCTCTGTTTGCAATTGCAGCTGAAATCACTATTCTCCACGGTTCTGAACTCAACCACAAAGACTCCTAGCCAGTTCAACTCCAGCACTTTTGTGGCACTGGGGCACATTGTGTGTGGGATTGATGCACCAATCATGCGCATCCTGAATCCAGTAGAGTTCAGGTTGAATTATCTAAAATAATTATCTAAAAATTCATTGCATGTGTGTTTCCTCCAATAAAATGTACTCTTGTGCTGAATGTGAAATGTCTTGTTTTTCTTATTCCAGTAAAGCAGTTTTGTGGCTTGGCCGTTTGAATTTGTCTTGCTCTGAGGAACAGCTGCAGGCATTGATAGGGCTGCTCAGTCATAGCTTGGCATTTGGACCGGTCAGCTCCTGGGGATCAGATGTCTTCATTGAGATTGGAGCGATTGCAGGTACAGCTCAGAGCTTGTAATCAGAAAGCTGATGGCTTGATTCCCACAGATATCTCCATTGGGACCTTGAGCAAGGCACTTTACCCAAAAGTTACCAAAGTTGGAATTGTCCCTGCAAGAAGTGTACTTTAAGTCGCTCTATTAACAGATATAGTTTATCGCAAAGAATTAGTATTAGTAGCTAAATTAACTTGTATCTGATTTGCTAGGTTTGGTCCGTAGTTGTGATAATTTTTGTTTTTTGTCTATACATGGTGTTTTTGTGCATTTTCCCCTTTCTGTAGCGGGCCTGCCTGACATAGCCATGTCTGCTTTGGTGAGGGAACAGATAGAAGGAATTACCCCACTTGCCATCTCGCTCATCCCAGCGGGCAAATTTGCAGTTAGTATCTGTTTTCTCTAGCCTCTTTAGTGCCTTGCACTGAAATGTATGATATATGCATGTGGTTATTTGACTGTTCCTAACTATTAATGGCACGTCAAGTAGCAACATCCTTTGTCTTTTCTAGTTCCTGTCACCGATTTGACAACAAATGATAAAAATCAAACAGTTAATTTCATACCTAAATTGCAAGATATCCAAACACTCTTATGATGTCCTCTATTTTTTAAGATTAAAAGTATTTTGAAGTCATTCTAGGATCTTTGTTACGTGGTGTTTCTACGTTCTCTCTTCACAGGTGGTGTTTAACCAGGCACAGATTCGTATGTTCACGTATGATCAGGCCATTGCTGTGACTGAGGCCCAGCGCTCCGCTCTGTCTCCAGTACAGCAGACGGCTCTGTCCATGGTGCTCAACCCCTTGGAGGACAAACCTGTTGATTTCAGAGGTAAAACTCTTTTCTTATACTTTAATTAAAAAAATATTGGTTATAGTTAAACGTGTGAGCAATCTCAAACCTGAATGAACGATTGATATTTGGACATTTTGAGTTGTTAAATGTTCTTTATTTTGTCTCACAGTTATATTTGTGTATCTTTCAGGCAGGTCACTGGGAGTTGCAATGCATCCCTGTCCTTTCTTCTACCTCTCCAGCATCCTGATAATGCTGCTGTTTTCTCTGGGATGAGTTAGGTCTGTTGCTGCTGAATTGCTGCTATACTGAACTGAACTTTTCTTTTCAAATATGTGCAATATGATGTAACTCTAATACTGTATAGTGGTCGACCGATATAGGTTTTTTGACAGCTGATGCCGATATCTTGGAAAGCAGGGTGGCCGATGGCCGATATAATTTTATTTATTTTAATTAATATTTAAGAAATTTGAAATCATTTGAAGATGGATTAAAAAATAAATGTGTTAAATAAACATACTTATACTTTATATAAAAGTATTTTTCACAAATAAATAAATATTTAATAAACAATATAATTAAAAAAGTAAAAAGTACACACTGTAACCAACAGGGCACTCAGTATTCTGGGAAGTTTGTGAGCATTGGGAATCAAATGAGTAAATGTTAAATAAACATACTTACACTTTAGATGACAAAGTATTTTTCACAAATAAATATTTAATAAAAAATATGTTTTATAATGGAAGTTTGTGAGCATTGGGAATCATATTTTTCAAATAAAACCAAGGTAACACTCATTTTACATACAGCACACAGTGGAAATTACATAAAGATGGCAGTGGGCAAATGCATAAAGCGCAGCATAATTT